TAGGGTTCCTTTTTCTCTACATCCTCTCCAACACTTGTTTTTGTCCTGTTGATAATTGGCTTTTCCATTGTTTACCAATGTGCCACTTTTTGGATTACATATCACTCTCTGACATTGCAGTTTCACAGCCTTTACATTTTAAAGTTGTATGTCATATTAAAAGGCATGAAATAACTTTCCAAATAATGTTTCCCACTATTATGATGTTCCTATCTGTAAATGAGAAATACTTGTGACTTTAAATCCCTTAGAAGATCTTAAGTTTTAAGACTCAAATAAATAAGTAAAAAATAACCTAATGAGTCAAACCTTTGGAGGTTCAATTTTCATTACCCCAAAGTGTTTACAGTGATTCATGTTAACACCTGAATGTGCTTATGTCATCTATGACTGCATTGGCCAGGGCTCCTAGGTATAGATAAGAGCAGCCACCCTCTGCACAGGTTAAGCAGAAAAGGGTTTGTTCCTCAATACAGATAAGCACAGTGGCAGTGAGAGGGCGAGGGCAGCAGGCTGACAGCTAAGTTTCTGGAAACATCAGCCAGAACCACCCCACTGCAGTGACCTGCTGCCGCCCCTACCCCCACCCTGGCCATGCTCTCTCTCATAACACCTGTATTAGCGAAAGGGAGGCCCCTGTCCACTCTGCTTCTTAACACAGCTCACACTCAAGTCAAAGTCTTGGATGGGTGCAGCTGACTGTTGGAACCCAGGTCAGATACTGACACCCCCACCCAAGGAAGGTGGAAGATGTAGGGTTTGTTCATTGCCTGCTTTTGTTTATCTGGGGAAGACAGGACCCATAGTCCAGGGATCTACTACAATTGTAGGGCGGTTGTCTAAAGATGCTGGGCAGCCACAAATGACAGGTGTCAACTATGATACTATCTCATGAAAATAGCAGCAGACAAATTGTGTAAGCTGTTTGGCCTCTACTGTTAATAAAACGTGTAGCAAAAAGATGGAAATATTCAGAAGTGTTAAAGCTGATTATTTTTATGGTCAATTGTGAGTATATTTTCCTTATATTTCATCTTCAAAAATTTCTATAAGGAAACTATATTTCCTTATAAAGTAGAAAAAAATGAGAGATTACCTTTGAAAAAGAATTCATTAAAATAATTGCTGCCTTGCTAGATGGATGAAAACTCTTAAAAGTCCTGAGCAGATTTATTTTTCTCTCTGTGGAACAGGTAAATACTGAATCAAGAAAAAAATCAAACAAGCAAAAAATTACTCTCTTGTTTAAGCGGTGGTTAAAATCTATTTCCTGTGGCATTGCCCTAAGTAGGTGCAGTAGCTGTTGATCACATTAGAAAGTCACAGCATCTCAAATCACGGGGCCTCAGTCATCACTTACCTCCACTTTATAGCATTTGTCTCAATCCGAAGTTTTTTAAATATACACACATTTGTGCATACTTATCTGTTTAATATCTGTCTTTCCCAGGAGACACAAGGATAGGCCTACTACCCCATAGACACATGGCAGGTATTTACTGTACACTTGCAGTGCCTGGTTGTTGATGGTGAACTCACAAGGGAAAGGACCATAGCTAGTTATGTAGACTCACTGAGAAGTCTTCCAGTCCCACCAGCTGACTAAGCTTTCACTGAGATGGTTGTGGCTGCATGGGACATCTTTCTGCCACTTTCTGCAATCCTCACTGGAGATTCTAGAGCTCTTTTAGGCCCATTAGCTTATTTTCCCCTTGAAGACCTTTTTTTTATACTTCTGGCCCCTCCTGAACACCACAAACATGAGGGTCCTGTTATTTTCTATGGCCCCCTCTGGAAAGAGCAGAGGTCTCCTGCACTTAGGATCCCCTACCCACCTGGAAGTTTTATTTCTATCCTGTACCCTGGACCTGGCCAAGGGTCATATATTCTTTTCAAGGGCTCAGCAGTACCTAACTTTCTTGCCTCCCTTCACCTGGTCCAGAGGGTCTCTTACTCACCGGGGGGCAGGGAGGACACCCACCCACTGGTCAGGAGTTCCTCCATGTCTCTCCTCTTTGGTCCTGGTCTCTCCACTTGGTCTTTGGTCTTGGTCTCCCCACTGGAAAAGCCCAGTATTTGACTCACATTCTCTGTAGTTTGTGATGTCATCGTTTTCCACATCCTGCTGTTTCAATGGGGAATATGTAAAAGGATATGAGGAAATTTGGGGAAAAACAACCATTGCCTAACATCTCAACAGTGGTGTCTGTCCTATTTGTCTGAAAGGTGGGCAAATTCTAAGGGAATGAAATTACTTATGGTTATCCCAAATTTCCAGTGTCACTCTCCAAATTTTGTCAGCTCACTACTGATTCTAGGAAGAGAGAAGCAGGACACTGAGAGAACAGAACGTTGCAAACTGAGTCTGCTGGGATGCCCATTTTTGCTGCTGTCATAAAGTTTCTCCTGAACAGTTGAGAGTCTGATAAAGTAAATTATCTGTCATGTTATTTAGGAGGGGGGACAGGCTGATAGTCACTGAGCCGGTGACAAGCTGTCCTTGACTTGGTAAGTTTCCGTGCTTTCGTTGGCTGATATGGATCTCATCTTAAGTGATACGCAATGAGAGCTCCCTTTCTCAGTTCAGTGCCACAGTTTTAGGTCAGGAAGGAAGGTGGAATGATTCTGTGTCAGCCAGAAATGATGGTATTAGATATCACCTGTCTTAATAGTCCTGCCTTTATCTGGCAAGCTGTGAGCAAATGAGATTTATGCTTTGTCATCAGGCTGCCAGGTGAGGCTCAGGTAGCTGTATGTAAAATCTCATGCTCTGTTAGACAATGGTTGATGTTTGCAAGGAAAAACAAGTATGTTAAATCTTTTTATAGCACTTGGTCCTTCACAGCAAGAGAGTATTACAAGTTTGTGTAAGGCTTTCTGTTGTCATGCTTAACCACTGTGACTTGTGTAGCTGCATGTTAGCTGGGGCATAGTATATTACTGGAAAAGCACTGTGAAGATGTCGTTGAGCTCTGCCTGCTGCTTTGTAATCTTCAGAAGTTACAGAGAAACATAACTGCATATGCTATTTCAAGCTCCTTATAGTATACGAACAATCTGAGATGCCACTCTTAATAACATGCGGTCGCAGTCATTTTTTTTAACCAAATTCTTGAAAGAACAGTTTTTCCCTAAAATGTTACCAAGCAAGCATTTCTCTAGAATATACTTCATTATATCAATAGGAGCCTAATAGGGCACTCTATAATTAACAAAACCAATGTGACAACACAATTAGGTAAAGGGAGCCAAATATTCCAACTTTCTAAATTGCAGTCAAAGTTAAAAACTCTCACAAATGCCAGGCAGAGCCTGTGAAGTCATCCTTTCACTGTGGAAACAGTGCCTGCTGTGATTGTCTTTTGGGGGTGGAATGAATTCAGAATGGGAAGACCATGAAGGATATTTAAGAAGAATACTTAATTTTTACATTTTTAAACCAGTGTTTTAGAATTGTGAATTCCTTAACTGCATTTTTTTGCAACTTGTCAGGGTTTTCTTTGGTGTTTGACTTAGTTTTCCTAGCAAAGACAATTTTCACACTTATCCTTCATCAGTTTGTCATATTTTAGTCACAAATTTACAATAATGTTCACAACTGGCATAAACAAGTTTGAGAATAAACACAATGACTTGGGTAGGCACACACTTCTCCACCGAAGGACAGCAGTGGGTGTGCCCGAGAGCGCTTCCCAGCCCCAGGCGCTCCCTGTGGGAAAAGCAGCCGTCAGCATCGGTTAGCAAGGACTAGAGGATGCTGGTTAATCCATGAATTGGTTAAAGGGCCTTTATTTAAGAGAGTTTCTGTATAAATACATTTTAATTAATATGCATTAAGAGTGGTAACTCTTAAAGAACAGTTTTTGGAAAACGATTTCTAGTACAGGTCCTGCAGAACTTGCCTTAACGAACAGCTACAGCTCACTTATAATCAGTGGAATCTGTCTGCATGCGTGATTGGTGCTCAAAGTGCTTCTCCCCGGCAATCTAGTGTATACTCTGATACTATAATTGGTGTGTTAATCAGACCACTTTTTTCTTAGATGGGAAGAAATAATGTTTTGGTCCATAACTCACTGAGATATTACATTTTTAAATTAATAACTGGAGATTTAATGAGCTTTTGTTCCACTTATATATGCTCAAGATCCTAAATACCTCTGACAATATCTTTACATTTTTTTCTCTTCTCATAACTACTAATAGTAATAAAGTATGCTATGCAAAGAATAGTTTAAAAATAAAATAGATATTGTCCTGCTAATAGATTTGGAAAATTTTAGAGCTTAGAGACACAGAGAAGCATGTGTGTATGTGTTTGTGTGCATTATGTGTTTTATACACACACAGAAGCAGAGAGAGACACAGGCAGAGAGAGAAAGAGAGAAAGAGGTAGACAAAGCAAGAATAAGAGACACAGAGAGAGAGTGACATATTATATTTATATTATATTATATTACATTACATTCACATACACACACATAGAGGGAGAGATGGAGAAAAGGGGGCACAGAGACAGAGAGAGAGACACCAAGATAGAGATAGAGAAATAGAAAAGCAGAGACAGAAACAGGAAAACATATGACAGAGAAAAAACACAGAGAGACAGAAAAAGACCAACAGAAACAGAGCCACTGTGCAAAAAATAAAGACAAATGGAGATATCTAGAGAGACAGAAGAAGGGCACCTCAGTGTTGTTGCTCAAGATTAGCTCCATCTCTGCCCTATTTGACCCAAACTATTTAGCTGCAGGTGTGGAGGTCAGAGGCCTCGGGGAAGCATGCCACTGGCTAGGACAGAGAGGCAGGCCCAGGCACCGCCTGGAGACACAGTGTTATAACAGGCAATACCAGACCTATGAGTAGGTCACAGCCTGGGCATTAGTTAGATGGCCCTGCACCACTTGTTCAGATCTACTCAATGTGTGTATTGGTTATGTTTTTGTTTTTGTTTTGTTTTTAGCTCTAAATGAATTAAACAAAATTTTTTTTGGCTGCAGAAAGGTATTAAAGGAAATCTCTGTTGGAGAACTCAATCCAAATGAGACTGTGCAGGCCAATTCGGAGGCCCAGCTCCTTTCCAAGCTGAACCACCCAGCCATTGTCAAGTTCCACGCAAGCTTTGTAGAGCAAGATACTTTCTGCATTATCACAGAGTATTGTGAGGTGAGAGTTTCCTTCTCTTTTTGAACCCTTAATAAAATCTGTTTCATAGAAAGAGTTGTCTGCAAAGAGAGATCTCAAAAGTTCAATTACCAAACCACAAACTGAACAATGGAGACCTGGCATCTCATGTCTTGCAGCTAAGAATGATCACCTCTAGGTGATTGACACATTTGTTTCTAATGAGGTTTCTCTCATTGGAAAATTCAAAATGAATACATTTTTTTTTTTGTCATTCTCAAGAGCATTTTTAAAAAATTTTATTTTAATTTATTTTTTCAAATACATTTGTGTCTGCCAACCCCCCACCACTTTCCCTTGCCCCCTCCCTCCCTCCCTCAACTCTTCCCCTTTGGTTTTGTCCATGAGTCCTTGCTATATGTTCCTTGACTTTCCCCTTCCCTTCCTTGTCCCCGCCCCCCCTCCCTCCTTCCCTCTTGTCTCTGTTGATTTCTTTTCCTTTCAGTGTTGCTGGTCTTATTTTCCTTGCATCTTTGTATTGTTGGTTAGGTTCCACTTATAGGTGAGATCATATGGTATTTGTCTTTCACCCCCTGGCTTATTTCGCTTAGCATAATGCTCTCCAGTTCCATCCATGCTGTTGTGAAGTTTAGTAGTTCTTTTTTTCTTTCTGCTGTGTAGTATTCCATTGTGTATATGTACCATAACTTTTGGATCCAATCATCTACTGATGGGCATTTAGGTTGCTTCCAACACTTGGCTATTGTAAATTGTGCTGCTATGAACATTGAGGTGCATAGGTTCTTTTGTATTGGCGCTTTGGTGTTCTTAAGGTATAGTCCCAGCAGGGGAATCACTGGATCATAAGGCAGTTCCATTTTCAGCTTTTTGAGGAAATTCCACACTGCTTTCCACAGTGGCTGCACCAGTCTGCATTCCCACCAACAGTGTACTAGGGTTCCCTTTTCTCCACAGCCTCGCCAGCACCTGTTGTTTGTTGATCTGTTTATGATGGCCTTTCTGACCAGTGTGAGGTGGTACCTCATGGTGGTTTTGATCTGCATTTCTCTGATGGCTAATGAATACATTTTAAGAAGGAGATGCTGCAGAAGAATGTTTCAATACCATTTTTTGGGTGGGGGGGCGGCATTTCCCAAACTTCTTACAGTGGTCTTGTGTTTAGATAGCCATTTAAATGCCATGATGGAGGCCTGGACAGAGCAGAGGTACATCTCCTGAATTCTGGGTTTTAGCTCTATGGCTCATTTCCCCCAATGGGAATGGGAAATGGAAATAAGGCTCATTTTCTCCATGGAAATCCTTCATATTTATTGATTTGTGATTAATGGCTTCAGGTATTAGCAGTTTCCCCCGCCACTCCATGTTCTCTCCAAGTGTTAACAGCCTGTGCACTTTACTGATCTCCAAGTGAGTATGAGACTGCTTAAGAAGGTGCCAGAGGGAGAAATTGACATGGTGCAGCTGTAATGGGAATCTGGCATTTATACTTGAGAGCCTAGTTTGAAGAGAATTACAAGAGTTGGATCAGATCTAAGATGGCGGTGGTATAGGTGGAAGCTACATTCATCACCTCTCAGGGCCAAACTGGAATTATAACTAAAATATAGAGCAATCAGCCTGAATAACTAACTGAAGATCAGCTCAAGAGAAGTCTTATAACCAAGGATTTATAGAAGTCACACTGAGGCTAGTAGGAAGGTCAGAGACTTGAAAAGCGCTGTCTCAATTTCCCCAGGTAGCAGCTGAGATTCCAGAGGGATATCTCAGCTGCAAAGCTTCCCCTTGAGAAGTGTGGGGTCTCAACCCAAAGCCAGACTCTCCAGCCCAGAGCACCAGAGCCAGGAAGAGGTACCCATATAACATTTGGCTGTGAAAATCAATAGGGATTCTGTCCGCTAGGAAGAGACAAGACTCTGCTAGAGACACAGGCATTTTCTTTTTATTTTAGGTGGGGGTGGGGGAGGGAAAAAGAGAGAGAGAGAGAGAGACATTGATTTGTTATTCCACTTATTGATGCATTCATTGATTGAATCTTGTATGTGTCCTGACCAGGAATCAAATCCACAACCTTGGCGTATCAGGATAATGCTGTAGCCAACTAAGCTACCTGGCCAGGGCCCACAGGTGCCTTCTTAAAGTTCCAATGCACAAAATCTTGGTCTCAGCCACTCACCATGGGCTTCAGCAAAGGGAGGGCGGGTCAAGCTAGAGTTGTATGAGGAGAGACTGGGGTTTGTGACTCTGGGGAGAGAGCTGAAGGGACAGCCACCAGGATCTCTGTGTCAAATCACTCTTCCAATGGCAGATGCCATCTTTCTTGCATGGAGCACTCCCCTCCACAGGGCATCAGACTGAGGGAATAGAATAACTCTACCCTCTGGAGTCCCTGGAGTCCCACCCTGTAGAGCTTTCACCCACTCAGGAGTCAACTGCCTGGGCTGGGGTGTAGAGGTCTGGGCAACTCAGTGAGTATCAGTGACTGAGTGGTGTGGTTTTGGGGCCATTCTTCCCATTGTCCTGAAAACCTGCCTGGTGCTTCCCCCTCATGTCTGATCAGTATATTTCCCTAGTGGGGGATTCACTAGCTCCATCCTCCTGACTCTTGGCAGCCCTGTCCTGCTGAGATCAAGCTTGTGGTAGAATCTGGGACAGACTGAATCTTGTGGCTCTAGGACAGGAGCCATTTTTCCCTCACATGCCACCTCAGTGCAGAGTCCTTCCTTCACATAACCAGATCTTGGTCTGATAGGGCTGGATAAACTTTTTGGCCTCAACTTGATGACTCCCTGAGACCCCCATCTCACTACAAAGGTATGCAAGCACCCAGAGAGTGACATCTAGACTTGGTATACATGGGACATTTGTTGAGTGGGCTCAGACCCAGCCCTGGCACCAAGTTTGAACCTGTATCAGCCTGGTGAATACCACTTGCCCCTACCTGGTGATAAACTGAGAACCTACCCCATGCAAGTCAAATACCAACAGGCACCCTTTCAGCGACAGAGCCTAATAGGCATCTGGCAGGTGGAGGTAGGCAGAGATGGATCTCAGGTTGCCTTGCGACTTTTTCTGAACTACCCCTAGGCCTGGTGCTCATAAAAGCTTATCTTGGTGCATGGCTTTGTCTCTCCCATGCACACTTGGGCCCAGCAGAGGCAGCCATGAACTGTGGATCACTTTGTAGCTCCAAACAGGTTGCCCAGGGTTATTCATAGGCATTGTCTGACATTGGTCTGCACCAGAGTTCCTCTCAAGAGGCCCTAGAACCAACAAACCCAGTAGCCAGCTTCAGACAACATCAGAGCAGGATCCAATTAGCTTCACAAGTACAACATCCTAAGGGAGACCTCAGCAGGCAGCAGACCATGCTAAGACAAAAATCCACTTTGTGTGATCAACATCTGACCAGCAGCAGCTCATGCACTATGGTCAGAGTAGATCCTCACAGTCAGCCAGCGTTAGGGTCAAACCCATGCATGAACAGGCCAATAGCAATCAAGACTCAACTATAAAATGAGGGCCCATATAACCGCCACAAGGGACATTCTTGGAGCACCCAGCTTAGATAATCAGGAATACTGTGCCACTGGGTCTCACAGGACACCTACAACATAAGGCCACCCTACCAACACTGAGAGTTATAGCAGATCTACCTAATACATGGAAGCAAACACAAAGGTGCAGCCAAAATGGGGAGACAAAGAAATACACTATAAATGAAAGAATAGGAGAAAACTCCAGAAAAAGAGCTAAATGAGTTTTAAAAAAATGGTTATAAGGATGCTCAAGGAATTTAGTGAGAACTACAACAGCATGAGAAAGGACATAGAAATCATGAAAAAGAACCAGTCAGAAATGAAGATTACAATATCTGAAATAATGAATACAGTAGGAAGAAAAAAACAGTAGGTTGGATGAAGCAGAGAATCAAATCAGCAATTTGGAAGACAGCATAGCAGAAAACACCCAATTAGAGCAACAAAAAGGAAAAGGAATTAAAAAAAATGAGGATAGTTTAAGGGATGTTTGGGATAACATGAAATGTAACAAAATCCACATCATAGGGATACCAGAAAGTGAAGAGAGAGAATAAGGGATCAAGAACCTACCTGAAGAAAAATGACTGAAAAATTCCATAACTTTGTGAAGGAAAAAGACCCATGAGTCCAAGAAGTGCCGAGTCCCAAACAAGATAAACCCAAAGAGTCCCACACCAAGACACATCATAATTAATGGCAAAGGTTAGAGATAAAGAGAATCTTAAAAGCACCAAGAGGAAGTGCATTACCTACAGGGTAGCTCCCATAAGACTATCATCAGATTTCTCAACCAAAACATTTTAGACCAGAGTGAATGGCATGAAATATTCAGTGATGAAAAGCAAGAACCTACAACTAAGACTGTTTTACCCAGAGAAGGTATCATTTAAATAAAGAAAGAGCTTCCCAGACATGAAAAGGCTAAGAGTTTGTTACCACCAAACCAGTATTACAAGAAATATTAAAGGGCCTTCTTGAAGGAGGAGGAGGAGGAGGAGGAGAAGGAGAAGGGGAATGGAAAGGAGAAGGGGAAGGAAGGAAGGAAGGAAGGTAGGAAAGAAGGAAGGAAGGAAGGAAGGAAGGGGAAGAAGAAACAGAAGAAGAAGAAAGATACAGAGGAACATAATTAAAAGAATGAAATGACAATAAATACATTCCTATCAATAATCACTTCAAATGTAAATGGCTTAAATGCTCCAATAAAAAGACATAGAAGTTGAATGGATAAGAAAACATGACCCATACACATGCTGCCTACCAGAGACCCACCTCAAAATGAAAGATACACACAGACTAGATGTAAAGGAATGGAAAAAAATATTTCACACAAATGGCAATGAATAAAAAGGTGGGATAGCAATACTTATATCTAACAAAATAAACTTTAAAACCAAGACTATAGCAAGAGACAAAGAAGGACACTACATAGTGATAAAGGGGGCAACCCAACAAGAGGATATAACCCTTGTAAACATTTATTCA